TTGGTGTTGGGGAGTGTTTGGGAGGCAGGAATTGTGATGTTGACCATTTGGGAAATGCATTTTTTTCTTTGCTTTTTTCTTTTTCTTGCTGTGGAGAACTTGGGAAACTGATGGAAACAAGAGCTTTCCCTTTATATTCATCCCCTTTTTATGCATATCAATTGATTGTTTGAAGTTGGGATCAGAGTTCAATTAGTAGTTTAGCTGTAGTAAAAGGAGGCCCTCTTACATCAGGTACAAGAATTACCTCAAAGTTCTCTCTTGCTTTGTCTTTGTTTTTGTGTCCTTCCCCCCTTCTTGTTTGGGGTGGGGGGAGAAACTGAAGTTGTTTTGAGGAACTTGACAATCATAAGGGTAGGGAGTTGGCTTTAGAATTATATATTTGCTACCTTATTGGGTTATATATAAGGTGTTTGACAATGCTTACAAAAATCTCTCTACATTGTACGTAACACTTCTATTGGTTCTGCCTTTCAGTTCATTGGGGAGTCCTTGAATCTGTATTTTGTGTTTATTGTAGATGATGGTCCAGGATCGCTCAGGTTCGGGTGTCGTAAGAAAGAGCCCCTTTGGATTATCTTTGAAGTTTCGGGCACAATTCACTTGTCTACATATCTGAGTGTGTCATCTTATAAGACCATAGATGGCCGGGGCCAAAGGATAAAACTTACGGGGAAGGGGTTGAGGTTGAAGGAGTGTGAGCATGTGATTGTTTGCAATTTGGAGTTTGAAGGTGGTAGAGGTCATGATGTGGACGGAATTCAAATTAAACCTAATTCAAAGCACATATGGATAGACCGTTGCAGCCTCCGAGACTATGATGATGGGTTGATCGATATCACCCGGGGAAGCACAGATATCACTATTTCTAGGTGAGAGGAAACTTCGTATAATAGTTTGCTTAATGCCTAAATAATCTGATATTGTGCGTGATTTTGTTGTCCATTGTCTGGCACTCTGGCTGTGTAGGTGTTACTTCGCACAGCATGACAAGACAATGCTCATAGGCGCAGATCCCTCTCATGTTGGCGACCGATGTATCCGTGTCACCATTCACCACTGTTTTTTTGACGGTACACGACAACGGCATCCACGAGTTAGATTTGCTCAAGTACATCTATACAATAACTACACCAGAAACTGGGGAATCTATGCTGTCTGTGCTAGTGTAGAATCACAGGTCTTGACACACCTCATTTCTTCAAAATATATTTTAGTTCAAGTTTTTCCGAAAATTTATCCTCTTTTTCCATCAGTCACTGTGATTGTAAGTTGTTGCTTACATTTTGAATCAGATATTCTCTCAGTTCAACATATACGAAGCAGGACAGAAAAAGTTGGCGTTTAAATATCTAACTGAAAAGGTAAATTTATTCTTTTCCATTTTTATGATTACAAATTTAGTTAATCGATTGTTGCATGATAAGATTAGAGAATTTGAGAGGTAAAGTATCTCACAGTTTGTGGAATCTTATACTTATATGTTTATAAGCACATAGCTTCTAAAGTTATATTCCTTGTTATCCATGATGAATTTTACCCATGTGATTGCCCTATGTTTTCGTAGTTTCTGAACATCCTCAAGGTAATGATGTTACTACAAACACACTGCACTTTGGTATTAAGAACTCAAAATTTGCCGTACGATGGACGAAGGTTTGAGATGATTTCGGTCTTGATTTTATGACACACAGGATGGTCGTGTGCCCATTAGAGTTTCTCTGTCCCACGATAAAGATAGTTGTCTCATCCATCTTCTCAGTTCCAATTGATCTCCTTGCATGCGATCTTTGCATTCACAAATGTACCATCCGGAATAAGATCATATCATTCATGAAAAGTTTCTTCACATATTGAAGTAAAATGTTAACCAAAATGCCTATTTAACCATTGCCTATCCTTCAAAGTTCATCTAATCTTTCCATGTTTAAAGGCCTGCATTCTGTGCTCACGTTTGTGTTATAACTCAATATAACCAAGGGAGATCTCGAGATCTCCTGTCTGTCCTACTTCCAGCCCTAAGCAACATAGCCCAAAAGATGACCCTCTGTAGCAGGCTAAGTACATTACTTCATAATTCATAACTTACTACTAGAGCCCACCGCATGTGCATGCTTCTTTTCGGGACAAGACAGTATTTGGTTAGTGTGGTAACTGTTGATTTCTTAATCCATCAAACTGCAATCCTATCCTACAGTCTCCATTCTCTGCTTAGCTAAGCAGATTCAAAAATTCAAATTCCTTTAAGAAAACGCTCTCAAAACCCGAATGCCAATAATTTTCTGTCAAACAACAACTTTTGCGAGTCAGAAAAAACCGAGGAAACCAACTATAGTGAAGCGGAACCATTGTTTATATGTCTGATATTATGTGTTTCAGGCAGCAGACAAGGAAGAGCCCTCAAGTGGATGCATATGGTCTGATGGAGACTTGTTTGTAAGTGGCACTCAAAGTGGGCTGTTGGCTGCAACTGCTGCCCACAGCTTGTTCCATCCCTCACAACATTACACTGCTTGGACTGTGGAACCTCCCTCAGATTCTCTGAAACAGATTCTCCAACACTGTACTGGATGCCAAAACATCCCAAGGCCGGCAGATCAGCCACTGGTACCTTAGAACATTGTCGAATTCGTTTAAATATAGTGGTTTTGGTCCCCGAACTTTTATCGATTTTTTGCATTTTTGGTCCCGGAGCTACAGTTTGATTTTGGTTGGTCCTTTGAAGTTTGAAGATCTCAATTTTAGTCCCGAACTTTTGTTGAAAAATATTTGGTTTCTTATCGGTAAGGATAAAATCTTGTCCTCACCACCATTAAAAAATTGACAACTCGTTATTTAAAAAAAAAAAAAAATTTGCTTTTGTTTTTCTTGGCGGTGAGGACAAGATTGCTTCTTACCGTTAAGGAGCAAGTATTTTTTACTTTTGTTTTTATTTCAAAACCTGCATTTTTAGTCCGTGTAAAAGTGTCATGTTTGATTATTTTTATTGAAGATGTGAGGTAAAGAGTAACTGTTATGAGTGTTATAGCTTTTGTGTTAGGGACTAAATGTGGAAATCTAGTAAAAGTTGAGGGGTGAATTGAGATTTTAATTGTACAAGGGCTAAAATAAAAAGTGGATAATAGTTCAATGACCAAAATTTAAAGTCTAAAAGTTCGGGGATCAAAATGAAAAATAGATGAAAGTTTGCGGATCAAAACCACCTGATAGTATGTATAAAGTATGTATAGTAATAATAAGGGTGTTTTAACAGCCAATGTTGTATTGTAAGTTTACAAACTTGTCATATGTCAATGTGTCATTTTTTTATTTTTGAGTTTACATCAGTCGAAGATATATGTTGTAATTTTCTATAACCAATTGATCTATGTTTAGGTTAGTGTCAATATGTTATGATATATTTAAGTATTTCTTTTATCTCTTTTTTTTTTCTTACGGCATGATGGTAAAATCTAGATTTTAGAATTTTTTGAACAAAGCATCAGTTGATTGGATTATAATTTTAACTCTAATACTATTAATAGAAAAGTTTAGCCTATTTATAAGGCGTGCAAGTACTTTTCCTTTTTTTTAAAAAAAAATAATTTAAACACTTTTTCATGTAAAGCTTCTAGGAACATGAATATCAATTAGCATCAATATTTTCATAACATTGAGATATTACATTTCAATTGACATTGGTTTTTAAAACGACTAATAAATGGCCAACATGAGCAAGCATAGTTAAGGTACGTACTCCTCTTGAGGTTGGAGGGTCAAATCCTCGTACTCGTATGATGTTATACTATTGTAACATTCTGGTCTTTTGGTCGATGATATATGTTGAGTTATGTTCAGGTTAGGTTATATTGTTTCACTTTTGTACATAAACTTAAATAAAACTCAAATGGCCAATATTAAAATCTCTCCTTAGGTCAAGAACTTAAATAAAACTCAAATGGCCAATATTAAAATCTCTCCTTAGGTCAAGAATTGTAAGAGAACATTAGTGGTTTATTTCTCATATATAAATTTTCACCCCTATGAACTTAGGACTATCCTTTGTATATTATAAACAACATTTTGGTATCTAAATTGAAAGATGAAAATTTTAAATAGTGAGTAAGTTATAGCCATATATTAGCGGAAAGGATTTTGTTGGTTGGGCAATGAATTTGATTCTTCCCGTGGAAAAAATAGGTAAGATAAGTAATTTTCTACATCCTCAGGGGTTAATCTAGTAATTACCTCTTGCCCAACCGGAACTCTGTGCGCCTGGTAAAATTCCCGGTACGCCGGCAACCAGGTTCTTGCTATCGCGAAGATTTCGACTCGGAGCTCCGGGTCCGGTACGGTACCCGATCTCTGTTTCCGGTAGGCTTCCTTAAAACTGGAATTGAAGTTTTCGTAAACCTCCGCTACTTCCGCCGTGGAAAGAGCGGCCGTTGGATTTTCCGGTAGCGATGAGATTACCTTCCCCCATGCCAAGCGCCTGTAATTTTCAATGTACTGATTTACTTTGGCTTTGTGCTTCGCGATCCATTCCTCTCTGAGAAGATGATGGAGCTCAGAACTGTGGACTTTCCAGATGATGAATCGGACATTGTTGGCTAAGAAAAGGTATGAAAGTGAAATGTCCTCATATTGCCTTGCTTTGCAATCGATCTTGCAGAGAAGGATGAAGATTAGCCGCGCGATGTGTGACGAAATGGTTGAAACTGGAGAGTCGTCTGAATTTGGAGTATCGGAACTAGAATCGCCTGGAAATGACGAGTTTCCAGGCGGCGGCCACCGGTCAAAAATTATACGGAGAATCTCTCGGTACTCGGCAAGGAGAGTGAGGTAGTCCATCGATTCGAGAGCTAAGGCGTCAATTCCGCCGTCAGTGGAAGGCGATTTCGACGATTCATTTGGAATGAACGATTTGTAATCTAACAGCATTGTGGAGATCGATTCGGCGAGAATGTCGAGCGAGGCGATGGCTTGCGATCGAACTACTTCAGTGGATTCAATTGAGAAGATCGATTCGATTCTCGGCCAATTCTCGAATATGGCAGTGAACATATCAAGCATGTAGAACAGGTTCTTTGGCGATTTCTTGCTCTTCACGATAACTTGGGGAAATGCAAAGAGAATCATAGCACTGTCTTCGCATGTTCTGGTGAAACAAGATTCCCTAACGGATTCAGAAGTTCCAAATACGTGATCGCATACAACTCGTTCGGCATTGAAAAGTGTCGAAATCGCAATACTTACAGCTTCCAACCACTTCTTGACTCTGAAATCGACTGCCTCGACATCCATCTTACGGATCTGTGACGAAAGTTTCACGACGCCAAGACGGTAAATCCCTTCGTCGACAACGGATTTGCGCAAAGTACTGTAAATTTCAACACATTCTTTAGTGTAACCACAGGAGATCATGCACTCCGCTATGGTCCTCAGATCCGCCACAGCGCCGGAGGAAATTATTTTCACTGAATTAGGATCATAATCACCTGCCGTAATGCTAGATTCTGCCTCGAATAGTTCGCGTTTTACGGAAAGAATCCGATAAAATTCAACCTGAAGCCTTTTCATCGCAATCTGCATCAGACTATGACAGAAAACGAGTTTCGTCTGAGAGGCCAAGAGATACATAACCTTCTGAAGATCGTTCACACATTGGATGAACCGCAAGGCTTCCTCGTTGCTCTCGTGAAACATGGACGTCACTTCAGCGTAGGCCAGAGACTCCGTGCTCCATTTCCCGATCATTTCTGCAGCGGACTCCAAACTCTGATCAATCATCGATTCCGAAAACCTTCGACGAGGAACGACAACGACTTGATCTGAACTTGAAGATGAGGAATTAGAGTAAGGAGAAACCAAAGGCGACAGAATCCTGGAACAAATTCCAAAAATCTTCTTTCCATTTTTCGGCATTGAACTCTTCACGAATCGCCTCTATCTGTTTCCCGGGAAAATTTGGTGAGTTCCCGTTGCGGTGCCTGAGAAAAAAGCACGCAGCTCAAATAACGGGATTTGCCCGCCACATACTGACCTACCAAACGAAACGACACCGTTAATGAGGAAGATAAAGTCGGGGGTGGCAGGCTTTGTCAGTGATGCAAAACGACGCCGTTGGTATGAGAATTGGTCAGGAACCTTAAACGACGTCGTTGCTGTGAAAGTGACGGTATCACGTTGAATTGTTCGGTCTTGGGACAGAACGAGTCAATTAAAACGACAATTTTCAAGGTAACAGTTTCAAATACTTAAAATAATAAAAGCAAAAAATAAAAGGAAGACTCAAGAGATAAATAAATGATATCATTAATACCAACCACTTAAAATTGATAGATGTCTGCATGTTTTTTTTTTAATTATTAAAATTTAAATTTAAATACTATTTCGATACTTACTTTTTTGGCTCTTGTCTACTTTTCTCATTGTATTTTTAATTTTTATTTCGTTTTAATTTCTATACTTTTAATGTTTGTTTTGGTTTTTATACTTTTGAAAATAACTATTTTAGTATCTATTTGTAAAATTTTAATACAAATTTTATATACAACTAAAATCTTTTATATAAACTTATGGTACATTTTGATAAATTCATTGAGTAAAGTGTCATGTAAAATTGTAATTGAAAAAATAAAGGGACTAAAATGATCACTTTTAAAAAGTATAGGAACCAATGTGGATGTTTCGAAAGGGATTAACATGGACAAAACCTAAAAATTGGGATTTAAGTCCTTTTAGGGAGGTGACTTTGGTCTTTGGCCAGAAAACAAATGAAAAAAGATGCACCCTAAAGATTCCATAAACTCCAATTCACATGGATGATGGATCCTAGTCCTAAAGGTTTCCCTTTCATCTCCCTTTTTTGAAAATACATCACTCCTCTTAGTCAAATTATAACTTTTAACTTAAATTACATGTTATTTCTTTCTGTACTTCAAAAGTTTTTCTTTATTTACGTGGTAGCCGTCTAGCTCTATAACATTTGGTGCTGAAAAACATATAAAAATTAATTCTTAAAGTAGATGACTATCATGAGATTTGAACCCATTTCTTCTCCATTTACATTAGCCTTTTAGACCAATGCGCCTGTGATGGTTAAAAGACCTAAAATGTTCCTTTTATTTATATTAATGTTGTCAAAGTATAAATCATTCACCTACTATACGATCGCAATCTAGACAGTAGGTAAAATTTTAAAAATTTTGTAAGTAGATAAAACGTTTTGATAATCTAAACTTTAGTGTGAATTAGCAGTCTAATAGTTTCCTTTAACCGATTGATTTCAATCGATAAAACCTCTAACAAATTTTTGCAAGTGATAAATTTTTTTTTTAATGAAAAAAAATAAATAGGTTCCTTTTTTCTTGGCTATGCAAACGTAACATATAAATATAAAGAAATTGTTATTATTAAACATCAAGGTCTCGTGGTGTAGTTGGTTATCACGTCAGTCTAACACACTGAAGGTCTCCGGTTCGAATCCGGGCGAAGCCATTGTTTTTATCTTTTGTCAAACAGTTTTATTTATCCAAAATTTTAGCTAATTCTACTCTTTTTAACATTTGGTAAACTTTTCTTGAGCTTAGTTTCTTTTATCTTTTGTTAAACAATTTTATTTATCCAAAATTTTAGCTAATTCTACTCTTTTTAACATTTGGTAAACTTTTCAAGTTTAGTTTCTTTTATCTTTTGTTAAACAATTTTATTTATCCAAAATTTTAGCTAATTCTACTCTTTTTAACATTTGGTAAACTTTTCTTGAGCTTAGTTTCTTTGTTTAAATACTATTACGCGGATTTAATTTATTTTAGTTCATATACTTTTAAAATGTCTATTTTAGTCCATGTGTCAAATAATAAACTTGTCTTCAAATTTACTTGAGGAAACAAGCCAAAAGACCCCAATAAATACTAGGTCCTCAAGCCAACTAAGAGACGAAATCACACCCACACCCTTTCAAATACTAGAATGGACGTTACTCTTTCGTTTCCTATCCGTCCTTACTTAAGCATCGATGCTAGCATTAGCTTACTCTTCTTTTATGCAGGTCGTATTCGATCCAGCCACTCAGGAATCTGTCTTTCCCCTCTCCACAACCCAATTGGTCGAAATGGGACCTGGTTCGATCGACCTTGCCATTTTACACTTTAACAGTTAATATATTTAATAGTATATATGTCTAATATATCTCTAACATATTCAACATTTCTTAAAATTCACGAACTTATTAAATAAAAATTGGTATTTTGTAAATATATGACCTTCAACTTTTAATTTTGTACTGATATGTCAATGAATTTTAAAAAGTGTTCAATCGGGTTGAGATTGCATAGATACACAATTGAATGTTCAGAAATTTAACAGATACTTATAAAATTTAGGACTTTATTAGATATTTTCTAAAAGTTAAAGATCTAATAGACACAATTTTGAAAATTGACGAATTAAACTTGTATTTTAACTTTGAAAAATCTATTCCTAACAAATTCTAGATTTTTTATTTTGGGTAATAACAAATTATAGGTGGTTAATCACTGTGATAATTGTACTCGAAATTTACTAAAAATACAAAAAAAACAATAATAATGAAAAAAGCAATTCAAAGAAAAAAAAAGGAAATAATTAATAAAATCGGTGTATAATTTTTAAATTATTGATTTCATACTTTTCAAATTAGCACAAAATCATTTTGATACAAAAATTATTTATTTAACTTGTAAATTGAAGTCAAATAAGATATTTAATTTATTATTTTATTTCATATGATTTAAATAGTTATTGAATGTTGTATTTATGAAAGTTAAAACTAGGGCTATTCATATAATTATAACATTAAATTCTAGTACTTCGAAATGAATTAGTTCTTCTCTCATTTTAAATTACTGTCGTTCGGCTGCTCGAGGAGCATTGAAAATGTAGGCTGCCATTTAAAACTACATGTCGTTCGGATGTTATCCAAAAT